AACCATATGACTGTTGGAATTCCTCTTATATCAACTTTTTTTTATCAATAATTTACCTCTTTTTAGAAATTTTTCATACGTTAAGCATGCTCTTACGTATCGAATCAACTGAGAGATACAACCCCCGCATGCGGGTAATAAGTGATGAGTGTACATTGCTGCATAAATGGGAGAGGGAAGTTGACAATTGAAAAGTTAAAGTCGTCGCGTTTATCATAAAGCTCGATCGCTTGTTTGATTACCAGTAACGTTTATTTCTAGTAATATATCGAAATATGAAACAGATTTGTCTGACTCTGTGGTATCTTTTATTTCAAGTTCACTGGGATATATCGTGTCTAAATATGAATGGAAATAACTATTATTAAGTGACAATACGTCGTCGATATATTTCAATGTCGAGTTTTCTTCTTTTCATGTATCAGATGAATGCATTGCCAATAAATTTATGAATGATTAAACTATCAATTATTATTATTTATTACATAATTACTGGGTTTTATTGTGGAAAATGAAACTACGCTAGAGAAACTATTTTTGTACCACGTATAAGTTACATTGACTCCAGTGTACATGTACATGCCAAGTTTGGAGAAAATATACCGTCCAGGTATTTTTGACGGATCGTTTCAAAATAAAGATATACATTTACTATAGGACTATATGGAAAAGTACCAATTTATCGCACTCTAAAGCAAATTATACAAATACTACAATATATATTTTGCTTTGACTATAATAATATATGATAAGTAATACTATATTGTATACTTTATGCAAGAAACACAAAATTCTACCGTTTTGTTTCCAAAGAGGACATCTCAAAATGCCAAAAATGAACGATTTTTTCTGTTTTTATAGAGTACTACAAAATATGACGGATACAAAGGATTTATACAAAAAAATGATAAAAATGAAAATGAGATAATCTCACATTTCTATGTTTTATTTTCAAGAGCATATATTGATTACTTTTCATTTATAACATTTTATTACCCCCTTTTTGAATTTGACGTTATCAAAAAGTCAAAAACAATATTACACTATTACGACGTCAATTTACCTATCAGTTGAAAAAACTGTTTAAAAATCAGTTAAAAAGTTTTATAAAATTGTTATTAAATTTTTCAAACTGTAATTTCTTATTTTTGTTTATTTTTTTTTAATTTAGTGAATTTGCTACAAAACAGTCAATAGGCTTCGTTTTACTATGAAGCACGAAATATTTCGTGATGAAAACCCTATTCGGTTCCCTTTAAAGTTAAACAGTCAGTGCAAAAATGTCTGTAATGTAAAAAGAACATGTATTTGTCTAAAACGTTTGATCAAACAATTTATTGTGAATGGAGGAAATATATACTATCCATGAACACTCAATCCATAAGTATTTCATCATTTAAACTTTTTTTCCATGCAGCATTTCCTTCTTCGGTGTGTAATTTATTAGTACTATTTAAAATTACTCGTGTATTTCTTGGTGCTTCGTCTTGCCGGACATATCCTTTTGCTAACCTTTTTTAAAATATGTTTTTGTGACACGAACGATTGTTTCAAATTTGTCTTTTATATATAACATTCTGCAGTGTTTAAAATCAACTAACGTGAAACTGGTCCGGTTATTAGATAACATAAAAAAGAAAGGCAGCAAACATTTTCAACATTTGATATTATTGTTTTCAAAATGCATGCCTACAAATCCCACTTCAATTTCATAACTTTGCAAGGTAAAGTAGGAGAATTTTGTATGATTTATGTGTGTCACAATGTTAAAAATGTGTGCAAAAGAACAAGATTCATTTACGACATTTTTTTGCCTCTGTGAATTTCTGAAAAACTAAAATATTTGGTTAACAATGCATTAAATATTATTCAGACCTTTGGTGATTGCAAGTCTAAAAAAATGACGTAATTTTCTGGCTAGTCAATGCATTATGAACAAATGCGTCAATTTTCTCATATTCTGAAAAAGTCTACAAAAACAGTTAGTTTTTAAAGATATTTTCCACTCTTTAATATAAAGCACAACCTTTGATTTAAAATAAGCAACCAGTAATTTATAGAACTATTTTGGAGGATTACAAAAATGTTTTATTTTTTTTAGACCAGAGGGTGTGCTCATATTATTTTTCTTCTCTGAAAGTACTCAAATATACCTGTTTACACTAAAATTCAAGAACATTGCAATTCCATAAAGCCTGTGTTCCAAGACTTGTTTAAGGAGAAAAATTTTAATAGGAAATGAAAGTACTAAGTCTCTACTTTATTTTGACAAGAGGCCCTTATAGGTCACCTGAGCATCATGCAACAACTTTCCAGTGATTGAATTTGGTTCATCTTTTAAGCCAAATGCTATGACATTCACAATTTTGAAAGAGGCACCATTGATCATCATAACTACACACTTAGCAATTGCTTAGTTTGGTTAATTAATACCCATAGGCAGGATAGGGGAACAAAAAATGCATTTCAACTAATCAGTAATACTTAGCAATAATCAGTAGTGCCCCTACCACACATGAACCCCTGACCCTAGGTCCACACATTGCACAATTTTTGAAAGGGCACCCTTGCTTTTCAAAAATATTTGATTAATACCAAGGAACAGATTTCAAACAATTCGTTATTTTTCAGTATATAAGTAGAGCCCCCCCCCCCCCTCTATGGTATCTCTGATCCTGGGGCCTTGAAATTCACAATTCTGGAAGAAGGGCAATTGCTCATCATAACTATATAGGTAGTTCATCTGTTTAATACCCAGGAGCAGAGAAAATTTTCAAAGATTTAATGTATTTTCACTATATAATCAATAGAGCCCAGCCCTAACACCAGAACCCGTGACCCTGGGGCCATGAAATTCACAATTTTGGAAGAGGCACTCTTGCTCACCATTACTATGTACTTAGTTAGTTTATATAAAACCTAGGAGCACAGAAGAAGATTTTCAAAGAATTCATACATGTATTTTCACTATATAATCAATAGAGCCCAGCCCTAACACCAGAACCCCTGACCCTTAGACCATAAAATTCACAATTTTGGAAGAGGTACTCTTGCTCATCATAACTATGTACTTAGTTAGTTTATTCAATACCCAGGAGCAGAGAAGAAGATTTTCAAAGAATTAATGTATTTTCACTATATAATCAATTGAGCCCCGCCCTAACACCAGAAAATTAATGCATTTTCACTATATAATTATTTAGCCCGCGCTAGCACTAGAACCCCTGACTCCAGGGCCATGAATTTCACAATTTTGATAGAGGACTCAATGCTGATTACAATCATGCAAACAGTTTGACAGCTTGATGCCCAGGAGAAAGGAAAAAGATTTTTAAAGATTGCATTAATTTTAGTGGTTTTGGTCCCACCCCTCAGGCCCCAGGGAGGCAGGGATCATGAAATTCACAATTTTTATTCATCTTCACCAATAGATGCTTTATGCTAAATTTGGTTAAAACTGGTTCAGTGGTTGCAGATAAGAAGCTGACAAAAACGGATAGCAATAGGTCACCTGAGTTTACTCAGGTGACCTAATAATGAAAATGTAACAAAGTGTTACATGTATATATTGGTATATCTATAGGGCTGTTTAATGCATAAAGTGAACCGAGCTCTAGCTTTGCATAGAATTAGATAGAAACAGACAAAAAGGCTTATCTTTAAGCAGCAAAACATAAGATTTCTTTATATTTTATAGATTTCGGAGCTGAAGGGCTTTCATATTTCGCATGTTTCTTAATTGTGACAAGACCCCTTGGTTATATGTAAACTCTTGATCATGGCTATACGGAGTTTGATCCACTTCAGCAAACTTTTCTTAACTTCTACATTGGTCATATTTTTGTACTCTAAGGTCCAGGGTCTTTTGTACCATGTCTGGATTTATGTGACAAGATCCTCCTTTAGATGCCATTTGACCTTGTAGTTTGACATACTTTGAAAAACTTTTATCTTGGTATAACATTTGAACAGTTGAAACTAGGGCTTTAATATTTCACTAGCGTTACGTTTTCTTGTAATAAGACCTTTCGGCTTTACCTGAGGGACCCTTTGACATTGGAGTATTGCTTATTCCTGGGAAAATGTTAACCTTTGCCATGTAGTTTGTATGGCTGGTGCTAAGAATTTTGTGATTCACTCGCGTACTGGACGTTCCAATAGATATCAACATTTTTTACCTCCTGACCTTGAAACATGACTTACCCTTTGAAAAAATACTTGATCTTGATCATATATAATTTTAGAACAGATGCATGACCTTCCTTTTTGCTACAAATATTTGCTTTAACTTTCCGATTTTGACCTTTGAGTACGAGCTACCTTTGAAAATCTTTAAAACCATAACTTTGCGATATATTAAACTTATATAAAACCCCCAAATTTTTCTATTTGGTAAGTGCAAAGAAGAGATTTTACACACACGACTTATAGACATAATTGTAGTACTCTTACATGTAATTCTCATTTATTTGCAAAAACAAATAACAGATAATCCTAATTGTGCTTGTGGAAAAATTGAAACAACAATCCTCTATACACTGACTCAAGGAAAAAATCATTGACCCATTAGGACCAGTCACTTTAAACATTCTCTTTTTTGGAGATTCACCTAAGAATTATTTCTTCAATACAAACATTTTTTAACATGTACATCAATTCATTTCAGTCTCTGAAAGATTTGAACCTGAATATTACTTGTGGTCGTATTGTTGTTATTATCAATCTTAGATTGTATGACTGTTTATTCCTCATTTACTATTAATGTTAATTCATGTTATGATATCTCTCTCTATAATTTTTTCCCATTTTGTTATTTTTTGCTTTCCTTTCATCTTTATTTTTTCAGCTATTGTTCCTGTTAAACCTGTCGTTCAACAAGGGCAAATGTTCTTTATTTATATTGAACGTTAATTTAAGGAAACAGATTAATATAAAATGTAATTGTTTTCGAATCCTGTTTTTATTATCTATTGTGTATATACCAGTATATGATGCCTAATTTAAATGAGTTAAAACTAAAATGTCACATAAATCATTTTAACAATTTCAAATAAACCTTTATTTATGTATCAAAATGTTACATTAAATCACTAACATTTCAACTTTTACTATTTTTTATCACACGAAAAATCAAATCATAGAATTCATAAAATGTTTATCCATTGCTGAATATTAACTTTCTTCACAATAACTGAGTTTGGCAGAATTGATTTTAATTTTTGGAAACGGCACATTTGATCCAATGGACTTGGAAAGGTATTTTCTCTGGTGTATAGATAACGTTTCTTTGTGGATCAAAACATTCTACGTCACTCAGGGCGTGGTCTAGCTGTGACGATATCCCGCCTACTACGTATATCTTGTTATCTAAAAAAAACCAAATCATTTTATATTTTATATCGTACAAGGAATGTTCCAATTCTCTCTTCAAAGTTAGACAACCGTCCTTACAAATCTTCGCAAGCCAAGGGTTTCTGTCCACTACACTCTCGGTTGTGGAGAGTGAAGTAATTTATATTAATTTAACTCTTAATTTGTGATAATATCTCTATACTGGCTGGACAATTCTAGTATCATGTGCCTTTGAACAAACTCCTCCAGCAGCTTTTCCAAATGTAATTCTTAACAAAGTGTTATATATTTAATATGCATTTTGACTTTCTATAAAGTTTCATGCAGTGGTTATTGACCTTGACAGTTGACCTGAATCCAACCTTTAGTCTGTATACTGAAACTGTTCTCTGCTAAAAGTGTTTATTTAGTATTTCCCAGAGTGAATCAACAGGTTACAAGTATATATAAAACATTAAAAATCGACACACCTTAGAAGCATAAGATATCAATGTGCATTTCTTCAGCAAAGCATGCATTGCAATAGGGCACCAAAATCCTTCACAAACATTGATATATTCTTATTCAGCTCTAAACCTGATTTTACAGACTTAGCCTTACCCAACATAAAACAAGCTGCATCATGTCGATCCGTGTCCAAACGATTCTTGTAGTTCCATGTATCGTTAGCGATGCTGTACTCATCTATATCACTCACGCTTGACAGATGATGGTCGTGTGATCTCGGGTTAACTGCATAACCTCCACATAAGTATAACGATTGGCCAACAGACACAAGACTGGAGTAACAACGACCGTAGCGCATATTTAGTTTCGGTGTCCACCTTGAAAAAATGGAAATAAATATTTAGTTATTAAAATAAAACTTGGCTTGTTTTGTTTTCTAGTGATAGAGAAGAGAAAAAGTTACTCAAACTTTAAGATAACTAGAAAAAAAAATCATACTTGTTCGAATGGGGATTAAAACATTCTACACTGTTCAAAATCGGAAATCGTTCTGATTTTCCAGTTGAATCACCATAACCACCAGCGAGATAAAGTTGTCCACCAAATTCTGCAGCGCATGCGCCCATTCTTCCTACCGTCATTGCCTTGACAAAGTACCAGCAGTTAGAGGATGGATTGTAACACTCCACTGAGTTGAGAATACTACAAATAAACATCATGACAATGTCATCATATCTGCGTTTGTTTATATGATACCATATGATACGAAGCAACGAAGTGTTTCATAATAAGACAAAAGATAAATATTTCCAAATTTATTATAATAATTCATAACTCTTGAATGAAAGTGACAAACTATGGATCATACCTGTGGTCTTCTCCTATTCCACCCAGGGCATAAATCTGGCCGTTGACGACACATAAGCAGTGATACATTCTTGCGGTCAGGAGGGGCGCGACAGGTTTCCATGTCGAACACCGCTTATCATACATCAGAACGTCTCTTCGTGGAGTTGGAACGCTTTCTTTCGGTAAATAGCCACCTGAAATGTAAAACATTTTAATTTTCTTCAAATGTTCATTTTTGTTTGTAAGATTTTTTTTGTCTTAGATTTTTTGTTGTGTTTGCATATTTGTTTGTATGCATCTTTTTTAAATTATTATTTTTAAGAAATATATTCTGATGATATCAAACTATTCCTTCTCAAGTCAGTTGAATTATGATCTTGGTGGACTGTACAACTACAATGTATACCTATCATGTACATGCGTTTGTTGATAAAAACAATAGTGTGATTTCGACTGGGGTCCATTTTCAATCCTTCAACTGCAACGTCTGTAATGTAAACAAAACAGACTTAATATTATAGTCATGCAACATGTACAGTTGTACATGTATATTTTGATTTTAATTTTTGATTTATCTATAACAATTAATACCTTTGGATTTTGAATTCTCCATTTTTACTGATGGAGATGCACAGATCTCCGAGTCACAGCTTTCTTCCCCAGCGCCCCCTGCATTGTTATTACGGGCCCTCCCCTGTGAGTCGTTGTTACGAGGACTCCCTTGTGAGTTTGAGGGAGAGTATTTTGTCCTTGACATTCCCGGCTCACTGTTATGATTATTAGGAGAGCTATCTCTTGCTACTTCTACAGTGACGTCAGACTTCACTCTGCTACATGTACGCTACAAATATGTGCATGAACGGTTTATAAAATCCCATACATATATCAGAATCAAACGCAAAAAATGGTATTCTAAATATCTAGTACAGTATAGTCAAAAGACACTGATTCTAAGAAACGTTTTTGGGATAAGAAATGTTCGAATGGTTTTCTTCTCTTAAAAAAACTGTTGTTTACAAACCAAACCTAAATGACATTTTTATATAATTTTTTTTATTTTTATCTTTCCCCCAAAAAACTCACCGTAATATAGTCGCTGACACTGGCGCTGGAGTTGATGTTATTACGATGGGGAGGGACGTGCAGACGGAGGGGGTCTTGCTTATGTAGCATAGACATCGTCATCAGCCTGTCGAGAAAGTTTATATTGAATATCTTATTGATTAAATGAAACGAAGTAGATTCCTTGTTGAATATATTAAAACGAAAAAGGCAAAATAACGTCTTTGACATATCAAGTGCGTTACTATTTAGGAATTATGTAGTGGTACTTGCTTGAAAATAAAGTAGAACAAAATATTCCAAGATTGAAACAGATAGATTGAATATATATTCAAAGATCAAAGAGAGACAAAACAATTGTGTACCAGTTAGCTTCGTAAATTCTTTGCAAGCAAGTCGCATTCGATTTCAACAGGCTACAGCGTTCCACACACTCGTACAGCTCGGCTTGGTTCATCAGAGGAAATCGAACGCAGTCCATTATTCGGTCTAGATACTTACAGCGTTCCTTAGCATCGCCATTCTGAAGCCAATTCAAACCCGAATAAAAAATATCCATCTCACTGCGCAGAATCAATGCATCATATGACAATATCATACAAAGAGTGTTGATATCGAGCTGGAGAAATGTCTTGCAGTCTCTCACGCGCATGAATTTAGAGGCAAGGCTTTTCATGATGCGATCGCAGTATTCCACGTCGTGCGTGTCTTTCATCACGGAGAGCAGAGCTAGGAGTTCATCATCAGTTATCGATTCTACTTGATCGAAACATTTTTGTCGAACTGCAGCAACATCAAACTTATCGGCCAATTTGATGAAATCTGGAATAAGGGCAGTTTCCATTCTTAGATCTCCGGTGTAAACATAATTCAATAGAACTTTAACAGACCGTTCGGAAACCCCCGATATTCGAATATCTTTGGGCTTTTTATGTTTAAGTGGGTTCTCGTGTTCTAAAACTGAAGCTAGGTACGGACTGAAGCAGGCTAGCACGATCCGGTGCGCAGGGAACGTGTCTTTACCGACATGAACACGAATGTCGCAGATGTTGCTGTCAAGGAAGCTCTCCCTTAGATAGGATCCAGTCTCGGCATAATGCATCAATTTGTTCAGCGGAACATCATGGAATTTATCGACGTAGTTTTGTATTTCTAGTGGTAATTCGGGCATGTGGTCACCGGTAGTAGCCCTCAAGATGTCGTTTAGCTCGTGTTTATGTTTAACAGCTCTGATTGTGTTATCTTCGTTGACCATAATAAGTGGCCGGGCTTGATGTCTAACATGGCCTAGATGATGGTCAGAAAGTGGTTCATGGGGATGTATATTGTGGGAGGATATGAGAGTTTCCTCTTCGTGTCCGACATAACCCCCTGTGCTTTCTCTGGACCTCTGGTCTTCCACTCCTTCGCCGTGCCGTTCCCCTATCTGACTAAATCTAACTAGACTTGGCTTCACTAGCTTCACACTGTTATCCACACCAGTGTTCGAACTCACTCGAGAACTTAGTTGTCTTTCTGGTTGTGCAGCACTTAAAACGCTCGTCAGACTAGGAGGTCCTTTGGTCTGAGTAAGGCTGCTTTTCGACGGTTTTGACTTGGTCTGAGATTTAGAAGGTGCGGTGTATTCTTTTGGACTCTGGTTATTGGCAATCCTTGCGGTCCTTGATGTAACAAATCCAGAGTCATAGGAAGGGGCTCTTGGCTTTTCCTCCAACGGCTCCTCGGCCGTCGCCTCTTCGATTGGTTCCTCCACTGGACCTGCGTAAGCTAGATTTGGAATACTCTTTGTGGGGTCATATTTTTCCTCTACGAAGTCCGTTTCGGGTTTTTGAAGTTGAATGGCCCCTAGGAGATTTTTCATTGGATCTCCACCCGAGGTTGTCGGTTGTTCAGAGGGGATCGAAGGCGGAGGGCCGGCAAAACTTTCTGTGGGCCCTGTTTCTTCTTTTGGGCCCTCGAACGCTAGGTTAGGGATGCTTTTTGTTGGGTCGAATTTTTCCTCGGCTGGTTCGCTAGATGTACGTTTCAGCTGAATGGCTCCAAGGAGATTGTTCCTCATTGCACTGCCGGAGAGGGGAGGTGGAGGGTGGTTCTGATTAAAATCGTCTGTATCACAGCAAGAGAGTGGTGCTCCTCCCCCGGGAGGGTGGTTCTGTTTAAAATCATCTGCATCACAAAAGGATTACAAGTAAAAATAAATTTTCAAAAAAAAAATTAAAGAAAGTCTTATTTTTTTTGCTATATTCTTCGCATATAGTACAATTCTCTACCATCCTTGGACTTTCAGTAAGGCGTGGCATTCTAGGTGCTACGTAATTAGCGTCTCTCATATGGCAGATAGATGGTTAAGAAATTAAGAGCAATTCTCTGCGACCACTTAAACTTCGTTGCCACACCTGGTCACCGATTTTGATGAAACTTCGTCCATTTTTAGTACTTGGCCCCAGAAACATTAATCAAATAAATTTTCGTTGCCATGTGTCTCGGTTGCCATGGTAACAGCCGGAAAAATTTGAAAAATTGAGATTTTCAGCTACTTTTAATCTTTACTGAGCCTTAATTAAAACTCGGAAAAGCAAACAAACCATTCTCACAAAAACATGACACCTTGTTGCCACTTATACTGTAAAGAAATTGTTTAGAATATTTCTGTAAGTAAGTGGTAACCAAGGGTACATTTTGAATACATTTAAAATGCTGAAATATGCTGAAAAACGCACAGTATTCACTATTGGTAGTTGTTACATGGTAAAACTCAATCAACAAATTAAGACAAACAATGAAAATGTTTTACCTTAAGTATATAGGTATAAGCAATAATATTCTATAAATAACTTTTATGGTTGCCATGGTAACACAGTGTAACCAAGTAAAATAAGTAACTAAGATTGGGTTAACGCTACTGTCTTGAGGAAAAACATGAAAATTCAAGACTGGCAAATATGCATCCTTATCCTACTTTGCAACCTTACTAAGGAAACAACGTACCAGGTTGTTAAATTAAGACCTTGCAAAAAAATAATTTTTTTTTTCAACAACATATTAACGCACTTTGAAAAACTGTATGGATTTGTCAATATTCCTGCAAATCTTAGATATGATAAATAATTGAACCTGTTTGATATTTCTTCTGTGAAGAGGTCACATCAGGATATGAAAGTGAGCGATTTTGATTTTTCCATACTTAGAAAATTGTTCCTCGCTTTTGCATGCATTTTAATTGAAAGTTTTTAACTACTTTGCACACGTTACCAAGGAAACAACGTACCAGGTTGTTAAATATATAAATGTGAATTTTCTTGGCTGCATTTCGAATTTACTTTTTAAAAAAGTTTTTCCATTAAAAATCTAAGTCTAGAATTTTTATTTTCATATGATATGAAAAAATTATTATGTGCCCACTTTGAAAAAATTTTTAAATAGTGTGTCGACTTAAAAATTTTTTCAAAGGTAAACTTAAAGTTGAATATCATAATTATATTGATAGAATTTGATTTAAAAAAAAACAACTCTGTTGCTATGGTAACGAAGAAGGGAAAATGTTCGATTTTGTAAACTTTAAATCAATTTTAAACCCTGTGTGCCAGCTTTTAGCGTCCAGTTAGCGATTGGATGATAGTCAATATTGAAAGTCAGGTTAGCCATTTATAAATATCAATCATAAAAATTTAAGGGTACATATCCAAGGGAACAAAATAGTTTACAGATTTTTAAGCATATATTTTCTGCTTATTCCCATAGCAACGCTCTATTCAAAGAATCTGATTTGAATTTTTTTCATGGGAAAATTAGGACCACACCAACACCTTTAAAAATTGATCATCAGTTACTAGTATAAGGAAATGTGCTTTTTTTTAAAAGATAGCATCAGATTTAGACATACAGAGTGTAAATTTTAAGTGTTTCTATGGTATAAAACCCTTGGTAACCATTGACAACCAAAATGAAATATTATAATTTGGTCTTGGTATATGTTTCAAGGCTCTTTTCTCTATTATTTGGTCACATTTTATCTTATTATTGCTTTTATTTTTATGTGTATAACTTTATAAACTTCAATTTTTTTAATCTTTTGAATACTTTGTTACCGAAGTAACGTATGTAATAGTTGATTTCCCAAACATGTTTATCGTGCATTTAAAACATATGACTGAAGGCTTTAGAAAACAATTATTGTCAATTGTTTGCTTTGCCGCAAATGTTAACTATGGGGCTCTAAACAAATTAAAAAATGCCATTTTTCAAACTTTCAGACATGTTGCCATGGTAACTGTAACACATAGCAACCAATTTTTACTTGAAATTGGTTTAGGGTATCAAAGACTTTTATCATTGAGAGTTTGGAGAAATTCTGAGATTATGCGTGCCACAGCTCATATATAAAATTTCAAGTCATTACAGAGAATGGCTCTTAATAACATCAGGAACTTTAAATTGTAGTTGACAACAATGAGACGACTTAACATGTGGCAACGCACTTTGAACAAAATACGCACTTTGAAATTTTTTTTCAAAGTGCGTTAAAATTGGGACAAAATTAACGCATTTTGAAATTTTTTTCAAAGTGCGTTAAATTTGGGACATACTCAACGCAATTTGAAAAAATTCTTCAAAGTGCAGTAAGAGTGTACATTAACATTTTTACCATGGAGAAAGTTAACGCACATTGGAAAAAAATTTGTATGCAACAAAAAATTCTACACTTATATTTTAGTAATTGAGAGAATCAATTTGTAATTAATCATATCTTTCGAAAAACTTTTTAATATACGAGGGCCGTTCAAAAATTACGCGGACTGTGCTATTATTTACTCTTACAGACGTCACAGAGTTATGAAATTTCACAGAAATATGTATCTCAAAGATTCCAATAAATTTTGGGCAAAATTTCTGTATTATAAAAAAATTCTACTAAAATTATCGTTATGTTGATATCGCTGATGGAGAGGTACGGAGCACGACAAAAAATTTGAAGCAAAAGCATGCGGAATCCAAAATTTAACTCATTTATTTTCTATAATTTGCAATATTTTTCGACAATTTTCTCAAATGTATCTTGAAATTGTTCTGTTATTATGTATTTGGATTTCTGACGTGATATTTGAAGTACTAACAGAAATATAGTTATTTTCCTCTGATGCGATTCCCGTGAAAACGACTGTGAAAATGACGTCTGGTGAATTGACGGCGCACCACACTTCAGTTAAATTATGTGTGGGCAACATAGATCCAAAATATGCATAATAAAACATGTAAAACTAAAATATTCGTGACATTCGTGACAAATTTTTTAGACCAATGGCTATACTGGAGGACGGGAAGAAGATTAAAAAACTTTATCCGGACTGTAAAGAACGTTATTGAGAGTCACCAATATCACACTATATCTCATAAATACCTGCAGTTTTTGGTTTTAAAACAAAAAAAGAATATTGTATACTTGTTTAATAGATTCAAAGCTTGACAAGAAATGGTGTTTGGATGTTCAGTAGATAAGATAACTCAAACTGTACAGGAACTCTTGGGAAAATGTTGAAAAATTTCACATATTTTTTTAAATGTCTGTGACGTCGAAGATTTTGCTGCTCCGTGACTTAATGATATGTCCTGAAAAATCACTCAAAATTGATACCAATTTATAACATTTTGATATGAAATTTTGTAGACCATATAAGTAAGGATTCTTTTATATTATGTGCGACATTTTGCCCGAAAAAAATTTTTTTATAATGTCTGTGACGTCGAAGATTTTGCTGCTGTACAAAAATGTCTCAAAATTGATACCAATTTATAACATTTTGATATGAAATTTTGTAGAGATAAGTAAGGATTCTTTTATATTTGTAATTTTGCCCGATCAAATATTTTTTCTGTGCAGCAAGTCCGCGTAATTTTTGAACGGCCCTCGTACGTATATTGATTTAACCTCATTGAGAGCAAGGAAAAGACGAGTAGAAAATCTCTAAGCCTAACGATTTTTTTCGGATACATATTGCCGTCGGTAGCAAATTGAACGCCCGATGCCTATATATGCTACACCCAAATATATGTATTTGCATAACTGGTTGAAAACTATCAATAAATTTTAGCTTATATAAAATACATGCAAACTGGAAAAAATTAAGTACAGTAACACATTTAAAAGAGGAAGAGTGTTCAAATTAAGGAAAAATGAAAATCGCTCACTTTCACATCCTAAAGGGACCTTAAAATTATCACCAAAAATTTATCCAACATGTTCAATTATTTATCATTCTCAAGATTTGAAGAATATCGACAATACACTTTTTTTTTTCAAAGTGCGTTAATATGGTCGGTATTAACGCACTTTGAAAAGAAATTTTATTTTTTCAAAGTGCGTTGATTTGGTCCCAAATTTAACGCACTTTGAAATTTTTTTTCAAAGTGCGTAATTTTTCAAAGTGCTTTGTAACAACGCTGATATTGGATATTTGCTACACGTTGACATTCGCCCGAATTTCTATCTGATATATTCAATAGTGAATGAAAGTTTTGTAAATTTCAGACGCTATTATGTAACGTCGAGGATATCGCGACTTACTGAAAGTCCAAGGTTAACAGTGAATTATACAAAATCACAGGAAAGATAAGGGTTGATGTTGATATGATTACAGGCACGGAGTATCGGGGGAGGGGGTTGCTCATTGAGAGTTTGGTAACACGTACATGTAACACCCCCCCCCCCCACGAACCCCCTTCTCCATTTTTTAAAAATTTTTTAGTATTAATATCATTGTTATTTGGTTACGTATGAATAAAATTTTATGAAATAGGATTTTGAATATGGAGTTATAATAATAAATTTCTTTTTTTCAGTTAATTAAGGTACGCAAAGTATAACGACCGTATTTTGTACCTATGAAATGAATGGTACGATATTTTTAACCATAATTTTGAAGGTGTTTTGAAATATAAGAGGCCCACGGGCCTGATAGGTCACCTGAGTATTGTGCAACAACTTTCAAACAATTAAATTTGGTTCGTGTTTTAAACCAGAGGCCATGAAATTCGCAATTCACAATTTTGAAAGAGGCACCATTGCTAATCATAATTATAGACTTAGCATGCTTACTCTATATACTTAATACCCAGAGGTAGATCAGAGTAACATTAAGAGAAAATGCACCTCCACTTTATAACCAGTT